GAACAAGAAAACTTGGTTAAAATTAACAAGAGAGGGAGAAAGACTTTTCGGCTGCTCCCCAGTCAAAGCCACGTACTTGAATTGAAGAATTCTGTGCAAATTCATGTGAGTTGTGCATTTATGAACAAAATATCATGATCGAAAATAGTCTTAAAGAAGTTTCATTTTGTCTGTTCATTACCTAAAAATCACCATAAGCATAATCAAGAAGAACCATAGCCTTAAATGAAATGTACTTTCGTAAGAATTACACTTTACAAGAAAGCATGTCATGCATATGTTACATCATTGGAGCGGGATAACAACTAACCCAGTCAACCACGGTGTTTTCGATGATATGCGTTTCAATTGATTATTCATTCGAATTTCGAAAAATCTTACGTATGATTAGGAAAAAGAAAAGAAAAGAAAAATCGAGAGTCTTTATATTTGATTGGCTAATTTCGGTGGACACCATCATCAAGCGGAATTGGCTTGTGCGAGAAACATCTCCTCAACTCCTAATTGCTTTTTGTTAATAGAATTAGGGGGTGAAAATGACCAACAAAGGTTTTGCAATTAAAAAAGGAGAGAAGAAAAAGCCGCACGTGTTTGGAGAGCCACGTTTTCGGGGACCTAACCAACGAACGGGCGGGACAACCTTGTAGGACACACCAGAGTCACCAGCTCGGACGACGCCCCCACCCCACAAGTTGGGGAGCTTCATAATAATAAGTAGGCTCACCCACGCCGGACCACAAGCCGCCACGTTCAGAGACACCCAGGCCCATGATCATGCCCTCCCCTTTCGCCGGGACCCACGCTCCACCCATCTCCTCTCCTGTTGGCACCCCCTCGGCTCGGCTCGTCGGCTGAGCATCAGCCGGCTCGTTTAACATACGGTTGGGGGCCCTGTCGCTTTCCCTCCGTTGTCGTCCCGGTTACGGTTCCCGGGCCCCACTCACCAGAGGATCCACCGTGGAACGGCGGTGAAGATGACGTGGCGGGCGGGCATTTGACCGACCCGTCCAATCGGCTTACCCCCACCCCGCTTGCCTCCGAAAATTATCTCGCATCCGTTCAATCGGATGATTCGCTTTCTTTTTTGTTTCCTTCCATTACATGTCTCCCAGCAAGTTTTTACTTAGGCAAGCATGTTTTAGTTATGCAAGAATATTACCACGTGATATTTGAATTTCACGATGAACCAATGAGGTTAAGAAACCATTGATCGACAAACTTTTGGAAAATGTTTTAAAGCTCATCACCTGATTCGCGGTGAAACTACACGTGCATCTTACTGTTTTGACTTCAGCATTAGAAAGGGTTTCGATGAATGGATTTACATTTATTGAGCACTAACATTTGTGAAATCGATATGAAATTTACATCTTATTAGTAACTTCTTGTAATGAATAAAACTGTTAGAAAGTCTAATCCATAAATTAAAACCAGTAGGTGAAGGAGACAATATGAATATAAAGAGAAAAAAACCCAATTGTCAAGTGATGTTGGATATTTTTCAACACCTCATTTCACGCACAACTCCTACTCCGGCTTGCACGTGAAAAGGGCATAACCTAGCTTTAATACCGTGTTGCAAAGCGCATCATCTCTCTTCCATGACAATTCTCATATGATTGTAGAGCAGGAAGTGTTAAGTTCAAAATTTTCTAGTCTTCTATTTGATTCTCCTTTTACATATTTTCACGCTTTAGGCTTAAGCCAAAATTTAGCCTACTTGTGAGGAAGAGTATTAGAATAATTAAATATTAAACCACACTCTTATCTAACATCTTAAACTTTTAGAACCGTTGATAGTGATCTCACAAAACCTCACAAAAACTATTAGACAAATATATATTGGGTATGGATAAGATCCTTTTCTGCTCCTCTTGATCTAACTCTATGATTTTATATATTGAAAACCTCATAGGAAGAAGAGGGAGGGAGGTTGGAGAAGAAGACCCCGAAAAGGGACTCCAATGGATCAAATCGATAATTTTGCACTTTTTTATTTGTTTGTCGAAGATAAATCTTGCAGGTTATCGATCATAACTCAAGTAAGATGTATCGAATGGGACTGGGAGGTTGCCTAGCAAACTGAAAATCAAATCCAAGACATTGAGTCTCTCGAAGTGTAAAACCCTAGATTGTTGATATCATCCCACAGTTTTCGTGGTGTACACCACCAAAAACCAGAAAAGGAACGGGACGAAAGCAAAAAACCGTGAGCAGTTGGAAACGGGGCTTGAGTCCCGTTACGGTCGACTCAGCCAGTGAGAAAGGGGGGGCTTATAGAAACTCCATAATCATCATGACTTGGGGAAGTGGAAGGGAAGCGTATGGATCACGAGCAAATTCGGTACCTCCCATAAAATCATTGCTCTCTAGAGGCAATTATGTACACGCAGTACAAAGGGGTTCGATAGCCCCTTTAGTTCTCAATATTGTTCATCATGTATGGAGACACCCTCTAGCAACTAAGAGAACCGATCAACCATACCGGACATCCCTTTATAAACATTTACTCTTTTGGTAGATGTCCTTAGCCTACCCTTGTTTTTTCGACCACAATTTTGATGGTTTCAATGCATGGTTAATTTGGCATTTCACATTGCTCTAGCGCCTTCAACATCTGTGTACAAATTCAGTCGTACCATGACTAATCGTAGATATAGCTAGGAGCTTAAGCATAGCAAACAAGGATTGGTTTCTCTTAATTACGCGTACACGAGCTAAGTGAAATGTAGATTATGACTGGGCATAAGGGCAACGGACAAGGGTTTATCAAATTGGAACGATATGACGCTCTTGACATTTGAGTTTCAAACAATTTTTTGCTTAAGGATTATATGTATACACGAACTATGTAATGATATACATGCACAAATATATCGACAAACACGCACCATCTACTTAAAGTTTGTTATGAACTTTGGGAGATCGAACTCTTTTTCAATATGAACTTTTCTTTATCTCCTAATTACTAACCGTGCCATGGGTGTGAAGTAAGAAAGTATCATAAAAATAAAGAATTACATGAAGATAGAGCTTTCCCAAATTAACCTCAATCATGACAGTAATAATGTGACTGAACAACCTGCTTATAGGCTCATATGACATGGAAGTGAATTGAAAAATCAATGTTGAAGAACCGGCCAATTATAACATTTTATGTGTTGACGCCGGACCAATATTTCATGAAACCTTCATGATACCAGGGGTTACTCGAGCATCATCATCATCGGCATCTTGTTAGAGTTGAAAGCTTCATAGAAAGAGGGTGGAAATGGTAGGGACTAGGAATCGAGTTCGGGCTAGCATGGGGCCAACATGGCTATATTTGTGTGTGAGCGTGAGAGAGAACCATTTGTGTCTATAGGTGCACTTTTTCGATGTTGGATCGTCGCAGAGTTGAAGAGCCACGGAGGGCAAACAAGGTTCATCAATCCCGCTTGGTGCCTCAATAAATCTCGATTGGTGTCACTGGATTCGTGAATTTCGCTAGTATCGTTAATTGCGCAACGTAATAATTTAAATTAATGTGGCAATTAATAGAAACACTACTAATGGGACTAGCGGATCTCATCTCGCTACAAAGATCACAAAATACTTATTTTTTACGTGAACTGCAATGCATATCTATGCATTTTAATCGAAACACTACTATGATGTAAGAAATTTTGAAAAAATATAGTGAAATTAGAAATTAAGAGAAAAGTAAAATTTAGAAGACTTGTGAAGTCTCCTTGCTTCCCTTTTTTTTTTGGAGCTCCATTAGTACCTATCCCAGAAACTTTCCATTATTTTGAACATCCCTAGTTCTTGAGTATTTTCTTAAAAGAAGCACATGAAGGCTTAGCGGTGGCAGTTTTCCATGTTCATATCATTTATTAGTTTGGAATTGAGATATAGATACAAAATCAAAGAAAATGCTGCACTTTACCCCCTAAAATCCATGTGCACAGCATATGCTGGTAGAAAAAATTAACGGTGCTAACAAGTGCAAGAAAATGCAAATTCATGGGGCAAAATGCAACTTTTTATGCTTCAGGCTTTACCGTACACCAACCTTAAAATTGAGGGAGGTAATATGAAATTTTCAAAAAAAAGAATTCTTGCATTTTATGCACGGTCACTCTCCTCTCCACTCTTTTTATTTTCATGTTTCACTCCCGCCTTCACCTCGCCTCTCTTCTCTCACCAACGATCATCATCGACACTGTAAACCAGCTACCACATTAATGATGAACAAGGAACCATATTAATGATCCACGATCAAACCAAATCCGATGACACCACTAAACATGATCGAGCGAGTTTCTTTTGCTAGATTGTCTAACTATATTTGGCTTTTTGGGTACTCTTTTTGTGCCTTCAAGTGGCACCCATGGATCTTTTAAGCTTCTCAAGTGAAATTTACTATTGCTCTTTGTTGAAATTCTAGAATTATGATTTTTTGTGTTATCTAAACCGAGCTAAACTCGAACCCTCATGAACAATTTGGTCGGACTATTAGCCCGCAACTTAAATAGATGGATGTATATTTTGTCGTAATTGATCTTGTCTCCTATTTTATGTTAAAATATATATCGAACTGTATGTTTCCACCTCATTTCTGCACGATTTCAAGATTGCTTACTGGGTTGTAATGTTTGTTCCGGTCACTTCACCATTTGCCCCTCTCTCTCTCTCTCTCTCTCTCTCTCTCTCTCTCTCTCTGTGGGACACATCAGGGATGAAGAACAACATTACCATGAATGAGCTTGGAGGGTCTCGATCAGTTGCGGGTGGAGGTGGCACAGCAAGACTCTCTCTCTTTCTGTCCTCTCAGCCAATCTTGCGCCACCTTTTCTTCCCGCGTCAAGCTTTTCCACCAATTCTGCTTTCCCCGACAGTGAATGATAATGAGAGCTCATAATAATCAATAATAATAGTAAAATGAAACCAGAGAGACACTAATAAAGATTTCATCATAAACAATTCCCTTCTATCATTAAGGTTTCGCTTCTTATTTAACCCTGCTCCCTCTCCATTCTTCCATTCCTCACCAGTCACCACTACGCACCTTTTTTTGCTTTCTCTCTGCCTTCGCACGCAGACAGTCTCGTTCTCTTCTTCCTCGGGATCCGATCCGACAACCCGACAACCTGTGGAAGTACAAAGAACAACAAAAGACTGTTGGGGTTTCAATTCCCGAGGGATCGTAGTGCGTGCTCCCTTGATAACTCACTCTCTTGCATCTCGTCCTTCCTTTGTCCCAATAAGAAGGAGATCCTGTCAGAATTGAAGTGATCGATTGGAAGTAATATTTCTTCAAGAACTAGGTATCTCTGGCGACATTCCATTTTTGAAGCAAAAAGGATTTTCTTGCTAGTTTGGGGAAGATCCAACTCTGTGTTCTTCAAGAACTAGGTATCTCTGGCGACATTCCATTTTTGAAGCAAAAAGGATTTTCTTGCTAGTTTCGGGAAGATCCAACTCTGTGTTCTTCAAGAACTAGGTATCTCTCTCTCTCTCTCTCTCTCTCTCTCTCTCTCTCTCTCTCTCTCTCTCTCTCTCTCTCTCTCTCTCTCTCCCTTCCTCCCCTCCCCCCCCTCCCCCAATGGTAATGTCTCTTAGGGAGATTGGAAATTATCCTTCACATGTAGACTGTTGTGATTTCGGACTCAAGGTTGCTTCAAGAATTTTTAGGCAGTAAGCTGAAAGTTTTCCCTTAGTAGATCTATTGGAACGTTAAAGGCGTCATCCGCTTCACAGCACAAGCTTCCATTAACTACTTCATTGATAATGTCAGTAATTGTTCTCCTCCTTTTTAGCTAGATCTCTTATTCCCAACCATTCCAGGACGAAGACCATCTTGTTGTTGAATAACAGCTTTCTCGCGGATTACCATATTATTGTTGTTGCAATTGTGTCCGAGTCAATTTTTCTCCTCTTAACTTCAATTCCATATGAAATCAGAAAAATGAATCGCAGTGTTCCATTAACTTTATCTTTTGCTTTCTATAGTGGTTAAGATAGAAGGATTTTTATGAAAGTCTTGCATAAAATCGAAACCTTGATTTAGGTCTTTTAAATGAAATAAATCCATGTAAATTTGACATCTATATATATATTGCTTCTATCCTTGAATGTGATTTTTAGGCAATATACTGAGGCGAATGCTCAGCTATTACTAAGGAGAATATCTGTTTAAAGTGTCCCAAAAGAGACCCATGCGAACCTTTGAAAAGCGAATTGATTTTGATCACTCGTGCATGCTCCTTTGAATCTCTTTTGAAGAATCATTTCGTGTGTCCCGAATATACAAGGTGCACTTATACTAGTCATATTTAAAAGTAGAACTAAATGGAAAGTGTCCAATGACACCCTTTCGTATCCTCCAAGGATGATCTCATCAACATTCTACTTTTCTTTTACTTTGTTCTTCCTTTTTTTTTTTTTTGAACTTTTGAGGATTCAAAAGGGCATCTCTTTTATCCTGTAAAGATTTAGAAAATCAATGCACTAATTAGAGTAAGAAGCAACTCATTCTCATCGGACATGTGAATGTTCATACAAACGAACTTGTATTAATGTAATTTTGATTGAGATAACGATAAACAATTATGATGTATATGTGCAGTCTTTGTTTTGGGACCAAAATGATCCATTTTCTGATCACAGATGTAGTATAATCATAACAGTGGACTTATGAAGTTTTATCCTACTGTTATACCAATTTCAAGACATGTGACATTATGGATTTTATGCCGTTCTCTGATAGTTTAAGATCTTAATTATTGAGTGGATTAACAACAACTGGGACTCAAAACTCATTTATATATGCTTATTTTACTTTTGCATCCTGGACTCAATTATGTGCTTTCATCTTAGAATTATATGACCGGTCATACAAATGTCTAATGTGATAGTATCCCCTCCTTGGTTAGGGTCAACTCCACGTCAAAGAATTTTTTGTCACGACTATTACATCATCGTCCATTAACTACCTAGATCATCTTGAGAGCAGTTGTAATATCAGTTTGTCATGCAGGGGATAAATAATTATCGCCCAAAATTTCTCAATCTATGGATCAGTTAACTTTGATCAACTTCAATTACATATTTCCTTGAATTAAGAGGCGGATAATTCGTGCTTTAACAGTGCTTTTGAATTACCTTTTGGCCTTTTTGTAATTGATTTACAATGTCACTTGCATGTAAGCCGGGTTGAACGGACTGGAAGAAAACTACATTCTAGTATAGAAATCTCATGTAAATGAACAATGGTATCCGCATTATTCACATGAAACCAACCATTAACTATAAAAAAAAGTTTCGCATGAACTCAAATTTTTATATGGCAAAAGCGAGCGCCGTTTTTCATAATATAACTCTTCGACTACATCTAAAAAGAAGTTTCCTTTAATCATGCTTCTTACACAGAGCTGTTGTTTAAATGGCTATTGGGTTTATGAACTTAACATCTTGTTTTGATGATCTTGGAGAAGGTTTCGTGGAATGCTCATTGAAAATTCTAAATACAGCTGCAGGTCTCAGGATATAATTAAAAGGAGAGGATCGAATATGAACACATTTTCACGTGTCCCCCCAGGATTTCGATTTCACCCTACTGATGAAGAACTTGTTGATTACTACCTGAGGAAAAAGATCACTTCAAGGAGGATCGATCTTGATGTCATTAAGGACGTCGATCTTTACAAAATTGAGCCGTGGGATCTTCAAGGTACTAGTAGTTCCACCTTTTCAAGACTAAATATAACATTTTGAATTAAGAGAAAGTGAATTGTTAACTATATGCAATGTAAAATTTGGTCAGAATTATGCCGTATTGGGGCGGAGGATCAGAATGAGTGGTACTTTTTTAGTCATAAGGACAAGAAATATCCGACCGGAACTCGCACAAATAGAGCCACCGCAGCCGGATTCTGGAAAGCAACGGGAAGAGACAAGGCTATTTACTCCAAGCATGACTTAATTGGCATGAGGAAGACCTTAGTCTTTTATAAAGGCCGAGCTCCGAATGGACAGAAATCTGATTGGATTATGCATGAATACCGTTTAGAAACAGATGAGAACGGAACTCCTCAGGCAAGTAACCATCAACCGTCTTGTTATGTACTCTTTTTCACATTGTTCGATTTCCCCGTGCATATCGCACCATGAAATCCTTAGGACATCTCAGAAGCATCTTGACTATCCCTTCATTTATCATCACCTTGGACAAAGCCTGATGTTTCTATACAATTATATGGATTCTGTTGGTCTCAAGGCATAACTATTACTGAAGTAGTCACGTTTGGGTAGAATTATGACCCTACAAGCACATGATCAAGTGCAAATAAAACTTGTCTTAATGGAAACATCATGTTGCAAGGTATATTTATCTAGGTAGCTAGCTGGCCTTGATTTATGCAGTGATATGTATGTACGATCTATGTATCGATTACTAAAGGCATTTACCAAATGATAGGGCAATACGGATGACCATGTTGATTGGCCTTTATTGTTGATTTCCTCGAAGCAAGTTCAAAGCACTTTGGTGTGTTTTCTCAATATAGAAGATCAGAAAATCATCTAATGAGAAAGACATAACTAAATCTCTTAGAGTAATCTTTGTATTTTTGTCTTTGTGGGTGGAGGTACTAGCTAGCGTATTCTTTTGTTTTTTTTTTTTTTTTTGTCTTTTTGGCTATTTTCAATACTCCTACTTTAGTAACTAGATGAAAAAATGACAAGTGCACCTTTTCTATTACTTGAACAGGAAGAAGGTTGGGTTGTTTGTCGGGTGTTCAAGAAAAGAATGGCAACCGTACGCAAGATGAGTGAGCATGGATCTCCATGTTGGTATGACGATCAGTCCTCTTTCATGCCCGACCTCGACTCGCCCAAGCAAACTTCACACCCTAATTTTGCTTACCACCATGTGCCCTATGCTTGCAAGAAAGAGCTGGATTATCAATATCAAGTTCCTCAAGAACATTTCCTTCAACTCCCACTCTTAGAGATCCCAAAAATGCTCAATTCATCAGTTGCACCATTGGTTGGCCTACACATGAACCCTGCAATTAGCACTATGCAGTCATCACCGGCCATGACCGAAGAAGAACACATACAAAAGACAAACAACAGCAGTGCCCAACTGGCAGATCAGTTAACGGATTGGCGAGTTCTCGACAAGTTTGTTGCTTCTCAATTGAGCCAAGAGGATGCTCCTGAAAAGCACAATTATTCCAATGAAAACCACATCTTCGCACCAAACATCGACATGAACATTGTGAGGAAAATGGACGAGCAAGAAGCTGAAGTGATAATGCCACAGAACAACACCTCGACCATGCCTGTCTCCAACCCTCTAATTGAACTCTGGAAGTGACATGGTAATAATAGACTTTCACTACTCAGTGGTATATACTGATTGTAGGATATTCATCTTAGACGATGGAAGTTGTTGGCCAACTTCTTGTGTACATTATAAAGCGAGGCCGGCAGTATATAAATTCGACCATTGAGCTTCTGTCTGACCTTTGTATAATGTTTAACTGAGCGAAAATGGTTAGAGAGGAGGTCATTTATATTTCTAGAAACATGAGCAACTCCATATAGGTATTATGATGTGTACTGTGTAGGTTAATGTTGTTGCACCTTTCTTGTGAAGGACAGGCTTATGTGTAGCCTCCACCTGAACTGTGTAAGTTGTCGCAGCCGCATGCGCTGTTTATTCAAGTTCTTGATATGTGATCATTATTGCGGATGTGTTGATTGTATCACTAGGAAATCTTCTTAATCCATTCTTTCTCTTTGATTGTGGAAACAGCAGGAGCTATTGTTTTTTGGGGGAAAATGCAAATTCCTTCGTGTTCATTATTCATAAAGAACTAACGCGGCTAATTGTATATCAACAGTTGTTTGGGACATTTTTTTTCACTATGATTGGCTTTGTCTCTATCATACCACGTCATTTATAGAACGAATCTATTGAATGTTTTATTCTTTAATGGATGGACCCACATGTTGATAACCCAAATGGATGTAAGCCACGTAAGTTCCTTGTAAAACTAATATGAAAAGTTTTTGCATATGTGGCATGAGCCTGGAGATAATGAGCTAACTCTGCTGGAAGTGAGCCCATACCACGTCATTTATAGAACGAATCTATTGAATATTTTATTCTTTAATGGATGGACCCACATGATGAAACCCCAAATGGATGTAAGCCACGTAAGTTCCTTGTAAAACTAATATGAAAAGTTTTTGCATATGTGGCATTAGTCTAGAGATAACGAGCTAACTTTGCCGGGAAGTGAGCCAAACTCAAGTATTCACCGAATTTTCAAGAGTAGAAGGCACTCAAGTACTACAGCTAAAGATTCCATAACGACCCCCTAAAGTTTTCGTTTTCTTTCCTATCACGTTGACCTAAAGCTGAGACGTAGAGGAGGATCCTTGAGTTTTGGAACAGTCGTACCGACATAAACTTTTGTGTTTGATTCCTGAAGGCTGCTTGTTAAGTGGGGACAGATAACTCGATGCCTGTGGCGAATAAGATATATATGAAGTATTACATACCTACCCCAAGATGATCACTCGCTGATCTCTGCACAAGCAATTCATAGCTGGTATCGATGCTCTTGTTGTCATCTACAGATCGGATCTCCAAAACTAAATGAGTTAGATCAATGTGGTCAATGAAGATGCAAGTTACACGATGAAGCCACCAATGCTGGTTAAAAGTTTTCTGACCTATCTCCCTCCCCTTACGTGACATACAGTCTCACTCACCTAGGGACAGGATGGCTTCTAGCCCTCAAGTGATAGGCATTGACAGTGAAAAATGATGTATAGTCTAATACAATCGCATAATATATCATACTAACATGTGGGCACATGTTTTTAATTTTGCCCAACATAATTTTTCTTGTAGAATGAGTTTAGAAAAAAACTCTCTTACTCTCGGGAGAAATAGTCTTTCTCATCACTTGTATGTTTTGCAAGGTTCATCTGAGCTTTGAGTAACTTGGCAGGGTTCTATTACAGACAAACCAAAATGACAATCGTAAACGAACCCATCCAAGCTACTTGCACGAACTCAGAAGAAGAAGAAGCAGAAGAACAAGAAGAATGGACTTTCTTTCTTGCAGTTGCACAAAAATTAAAAAAATATAAAAGCTTGAAAGAAGCCATGCATGCATTAAGAGTACCCAAAGCCGTTCGTCTCCAGAAAAGTGAGAAGAAGATGATCCGAACATGTCGGAGAACAAAGAGTGACAAAGCAATGAAGAGACAAAGCTTCCAAATTTAAACTAGGGTTTGCGTGCAGGGAGTTTCGCCTAGGAAGCTATACAGAGAGACACTCATGCAAACAGCTTTATTTTCCTTGTGGCGAAGTTCAGTTTCAAGAGAGAGTCCATTTAAAAGGACGAAAGTCTAGCCATACAAATATAATCATTATAAAGGGTCTTCTCTCTCCCCTTCTCTCTCCTTGAATCTCGGCGTCTAGAGAGCAGATGGATTCTTTTGAAGGAATCCAAGGAGAGAATGGAACATGGAGTCAACGCTTTTGTTTTACTAATTGACGGGACTCTTGATGAGACGCTGGCAAATTCAATGGAGAGAGAGAGAGAGAGAGAGAGAGAGAGAGAGAGAGAGAGAGAGAGAGAGAGAGATGCAAAGTCAAATGCAGGACATTCACGAAGAAGGGCATTCGATGTTCGACTTCAGGCAGGCTGAATGATTAGAGTTTGGCCTCGGATGTTTTGTGTATTGTGTGCAAGTGAAGATAACATCAAGCACCAACACCCACAAGAACGACGACAAGCCCATGTGCTGCTATTATGTTCAGCAATTGCAGCGCCAAATCATTTATCCTTAGATCTGTCCCACCAATTCATTTCATCCTTTCGACTTACGTTCTCTTGTACTGCGGCCTAATTATACAAGAATGCAGCAGGATTTTGTTCCGGCTTTGAAGTTTATGCCGATTGCTATGTACTCATCCTACTTTCAACTAGCTTGGAACAGCACATGCTCTCCCAAGTAAGAAAGAACAACAATCCGAACCAAGAAAATCGGATGGAATAGAACAATTTATTTACTCTGAACTCCTCACCCTGGACGTGCGAGGAGAACAGTGCCTATATACCCCAATTTCCTGCATGGGTGGATCCAGTCTCTAAACATGTAGAGTCATTTTAAGTCTCTTCACTTCACTTTGACTGGCTAGTCTCTAAAAATTGTTGCTTATGAGAACAACAAACAATCCGCGATACTGTTGGTTTACATCCCTCTCGCAAGGGAAAATCTTACCACACAATCAATGTTATGATCATGTCGGTTTACATACTCTCTTGATCGTAGAGTGCGAATGGAGCTAAACCCCTGATCCATGCAGGTAAACAACACAGCATGGGGAATGGCAACTGATTGTTTTAATTGTGGTTAAGACAGTACAAGATGCTTCTGTCTCAAATATAGCGACTATACGCAGATGATGTAGTCATTTGAGTATGAGAAGTGTGTAGACAGAAGAGTTCGTCGACAGAGGAGGAGACAACTTGGGTATTTTATCAAACCCTAGGCATTATAGATGTGCTTTATTTGCGTGCCCCTACGTTGGGTCGCTCGCTGATCAGTGTCTCCCCTTGCGTGCCTCTCCGGGGCCTGTCACGCGCTATGTTTTGTTTTATGCTCCTGCACTTTTTTTTGCATTTGTTTCCCATACCAAAAACACCTTTGTTGACTCTGCTATGGCGTCATTATTAATACATGGAGTTGGAACGCCTTTCCTGAGGAAGGTTCGATTCGTTAGGGTTCATGCTTCGTCTTTACATAATGTCAAAAAGACAAACGAAGGGCGAACAGGTAACTTACCTCTAATTACACCAGCTAATTTCTAGACCTCGCTACCCTGCATCGTTTGGGGGTCTCAATGGTTGCAGAGGACCCGACTTCTTCGTCATCTTTTCGGGAAAATAACACAAATGGTCCATAAATTTTGGCTTGATTTGCAATGTGATTTTTTAACTTTAGCTCAATGTTTAATGTCGTTCCTGAACTTTCAATTTGTTTAATGTGATCCTTAAAATTTTTATACAAATTCAATCTAGTCCCTGAACTATATAGAAATATTCAATATTGTCCATGAACTTGAATTAATGGGAGGAAACATTTCATATAGTTTAGGGACTAACTTGAACATGTACCAAAAAATTAAGAACCACATTGAACAAATTAGAAGTTCAGGGATCACATTGCGCATTGGGCTAAAATTTAGGAACCGCATTGAACAAATTAAAAATTCAGGGACCACATTGCACGTTGGGTCAAAGTTCGGGGACTATTTGTGTGGTTAGCCCTACCTTTTTCTCGTTTTGGAAGTTGCTTTGTAACGAACATTTTACAAGATATTTATCAAACACTATTTGCTTTGGCTTGGATGAATTGAGCAAGGACTCCCCTTAGAGTTAGAATTATAGGCTGATAGAACTCCCCAATTCGTACTACCTATATATGGGCTTAGTTCTGCACATAGAAAAGGCCTTCGCTTGTAAATCACCGGCCCACACTGGCACGGCACGGACCACGTTCGCACGTTTCGGCCCAATCACCACCCACGGATGGGCCTCGGACAAGCGAGTCTGGATGAGGCAAGCTGACTCGTGTAACCACTGCTCTTAAACTTTTGCTATTTGTGGAGGGATCGAGAACTAAATCAAACTTAAATTAGGAGAAGGACTCCCGTCGTATCTAATGCAAAAACGGATGGATGCTCTGCGAATCGCATGCAAGATTCTCCGCTAATCGGGTCTTCATTTCTCGACAAGAAGAAGATCGAAATAATTAAGTAGACATCGATAGGTAACCCCAAATAACGAATAGGCTCGACGGCAGCAAAACTTGGATCGAAGCTCTTTCGGCCCATTGGAAAAGGCCCGGCAAGAATAATGTTGACTTTGACCGGATCAACCCCCTCACATTTCCTCTAAGGGGAACGGGTGGATGAAGGCAGAGTTCATCTGCCATATCTCGAGCGACGCCGTCACGTTCACTCCGGTAGCGTTGTTGAACAAGAACAACTTCGCCGCTCCGTAGATCGCTTCCGTCGGATAGACCCGCGATGTTATGACTGTCCTCCCTCCCTGGGCGAAGCTTTCGACGATCGAATGGTCGACCTGTGGTCGGGATTTGGGGTTTAAAGTTAGATTATGTGCAAGATCATGATAACGAGGGGTATGCTGATGATTGTACTGACCAGGAGTCTCATAGTGAACTTCTCGTCGTCCAGTACCGGAACGGATCCACCGTAAACTTGCCTGAAAACTTCCGATGCCTTGCTCGACCTGCATAACACGCGAGGCTCAATCTCCGGACGGGGATTAATCATCTCGACCGATGCTAAAAGATGTCTAAAGATTCAAGACATCGGAGCTTATGGTTCAATTAGGGATTTGAGATGGAGATATTAACCTCGTCTCGTCGGCGCAGAACAATGTCGTGAGGCTGCCATTGGTGGATTTAGCAATGTGGAAGTAGATGGGGGTGAACTCGGAGAGCGACTCGTCGGCGAGAACCAGAAGGCCGAACGGGCCGAGAGTCGTCCTGTTTCGAGCAGTAGCGCATTCGATTTCAGCTTCTGTCTCTTCCAGTGCCTCCAGTGCATCGCTTCCCTCTATTTCGAACTCCACGCTTATGTCGAGCTGCCGACGAATGGAAGATTCAATCAAAACAGAGTAATTACTGGGTCGAGCGGATAAATAATCGCATGAGGACTATGAAATGCCATCGAATACAAACCTGCGTGGCCATGCCGATGTCGAGCGCCACGACGGAACCGGCCTCGACCAAAATACTGTCGAACTCGGTGCTGTTCAGCCTCAAGCTCTCCACCTCTTCCACAGGCCATTCAATGATGTTCGCTCCGGTCTTGTTGTCGAATGTTACGACCCTCGGAATTGTCTGTAATGGAACAGAGCACGATCACATTTCTTTTACGTAACCAAACTTAAATTTTGAGTATAATCATCACTAACTGGTTCAGTTACATCACTTGATTATGAAATGGCAATAGCTAATCTTTTTATCGCAATTGGGCTTTAAGTTCTACCAAGAAGCATAGCAAATAAGATGCAACACTCATCACAAAACAGAGCATAGCTAAATATATGCGTACCTGAACAGACGCCCAACCTTTGGCCAAATCATCATAGTCAGCGTCGGTTTCATTGGTCCAACCCCACAAAATCCTCCTCCCTGTGTTCTGGTCGAAGAAGCTCTTGGACGCATAGTACCTCCCGTAATCCACCTGCAACCCGATGCCCACGTCGGCCTCCGGGTCATCGGGCGTCCAAGTATCGCTAATCGGGTCATACGTCCCGATCGCGTAGTAATCCAACTTCAAATCGTCCAAGCTCGCCTTCAGCACGTGCTTCACGCCGGGCCCGACAGCCGACGTATCGAGCCCTTCCGGCGAGTTGGTCGAGACCGGGTAAAAGTCCACGCACTCCCACATGCCCGTACCATTAACTGCGTGGAGCACCCCGGCCGCGGCCTTGTACGTGGTGAAATTGCTCGTCTGGTAGATGAGGGCCATGCCCGTGTCATTGACCTTGGTCCCAATCAGGACCCGCCAGGTCCCATCGGGCCCCATCCAGGCGGTGGTCGGGTCACGGAACTCGTCGGGCTCAATTCCGGCCGGAGGGGCAATGACCGGGTTACCCGGGTATTTGACCCAATCAAGGAGTAGCGGGTCGGATAGATTGGCAGGGTAGGCTAAGTTTTGGACCTGCACAATGGCGGGGCCGAGGGGGCAGCATGAGTCTAACAAGGTTCGTATGAGAAATTGCGCGTATAGTTTTCTCTCGATAAAAAAATGCACGTAAAAATGTTCTGGAGCATAGCAGATCATGAGCGATCAGTGGCAATGGCCAGTGCTAGGCCCGGGGGTTGGCCATTCACCTGGATGGACTGTTCAGTGTCGCCGGTGTACAGCACCATGATGCGACCATCGGGGAGTAGGGTGGCCGAGCCAGTCCAAACCCCACCCGCATCGAACGAACTATCGGGGACCATGGCGAGAGGCAGGTAGAGCCAGTGGATGAGGTCCCTCGATACGGCGTGCCCCCACGTGATGTTGCCCCACACGGCGGAATCCGGGTTGTATTGGTAGAATAGGTGGTACCACCCCATATAGAACAGCGGACCTGCATCCGCACAAACGCGTTTCTTTACTTATCTCTGCAGTTCTAGGATGTGAGACTGTAGAAATGATGAAGCTAAGGCAGTAAACTGCACAACACTTAAGGTTCCAAATAATACAACTCGATCACCATGTCCAACATCTGAGAGAAAAAAATTGAGTGTTGGGGTCATGTATACCAAATATGCAGTATATTCTTCTTAAACTGTGATCAAGATACAAGTTTCTAATTGGTGATGTAAACCATGATGGTGATATCACAGGGCATTATTTCAAAAGGGTGACATGGGATTTCACGTTCGATCCAGCGGATGACTGCATGTGAAGCCAAGAAAAGACGGGAGGGAGTCCAAAAACGAAAAAGAGAAGCAGAAAATTTGACAGCTAATGCTAAAAGAACTGTTCTGCTTTGTTGGCCTGCCCAACGCCAACCATCATTCAAACCCGTCTTTATCAAGTTTGCAGCTACACCTAACCACAACCACTGCACTGGCCAGCCTCTGCTACTCCCAAATATTTGTATGGTCCAAATTGCACGCCATGAGAGACACCATAGTACCGTGAGTGACTGTAAAAGAAAAATGCCAAGTATCCTAAATGTGATTTTTTTGATGTAACGTATCAAGGGATGCGCAAATTATTATTGAGTCTTAAATATGGCCCGCTTATTCAAATATCTGTTTCAAGTCTGTCATGTCACTTAAATTACAATTATATAGATAAAAAAATCTCAATAAATCTAACGTTGCTCGTGTTACAAAAACTCGGTGCAAATTTTGAACACGTGTTTTTTTCTTCCCCAAGACCTAGAATTACACGACCTAAATCTCCAAATATCTGTACCACCATGCCAGATGCTCGACGCCTGATGGTGCTTTGAATATCATAGTTCTTCTATAAATGTACATTCACTATTTTTGGTGATGAATTCTACGTAGTGTGCTAAAAAACTCTGATGAATTGAGCACGGACATGCGCTTTCTAACCCTCCAAATGCATTTACGTGTTAAAGCAAAGATCCTTATCTCAGCCATCGTGACCCTTGTGGAAATTTTAGAATTTTGACTAAGAAGGGTTGTTTCAGGAGTTACTGCCGATTAGAATAATGATTGTGGTTTAGTCATGCGGTGCAGCCACATTCCTCCAGTCGAAATGAACATCCATTGGAATGAGCTGCATAGAACAACGGAATGTCTACCTACCTCGCTAGAATACGTGCACTTGAAGTTCCGGATTACTGGACCTAATATTCAGAGTCTAGAGCTTCTTGAAATGATTGGGTAGAGCTGAAATATTTTCCCTCGTCTCAGGCTCTTCAACTTATTCTCGACTATGTTAGAACTGAAACGTTGCGAACGATGACATAATTTGGAGAAGTTAGTAAGTAATTGCATCTTTAAAAAAATGAAGGAAAATACCGGAAAATAAATATAATGTACACTAAACTAGCTAACGAAAATAATCCTAATGTATGCTAACCATTCCAAGGATATAGTAGGGAGTTATCAATTATTATAGGGACAAGTTATGGAACAGTCCTACTTATCGTTCCACTTCGGGCTTTGTGATTGATCCATGATTCTTAGAAAGGTTGGTCGAATTATTTTTCGTGCGAATTCGACATCCGCACGAAGAAAATCATTTGAAAAATAAGAACACGCTGGACTTTAGGAGTGAGTCATCGGTTTGTCGAACTTAGCATCCATGTCGATATTATGCTTCCCCATATGTCCCCTCCCTCAATCATTTGTGAAAGCTTGTGATGAATCGAACTGCCTCTTTGGTTGCCATCCATGCAAATTGTAAGACAAGATCAGATCAAGACCCGATCTGTTGCGCAACACAGAGGAGGCTCCATTCGCGGTTGACCCCTATTTGATTGCATATGAAATCTTATCTCATATCCCAACAAGTTTTATAAGCTAACTCAGATCCATATGCTTAATTTATCGCCATTTTCTTTCTCTTAAGCTCTAGGTGAAGTATCCTAGATTTGATAGCCAAAAGAACCAGACACTGCTAGATTTGCCTGCCTAACCAAACGAAGCTAATGCTAATTAAACGACTACAATAGTTTAATGCTGATACCTACGCATAGAAATAAATCGCTGAATATATGGAAAGGACGCAAGAGAAAGGGCTTCTTGTGGGGACTTACCATCAGGATCTGCAGGGGAAGCATCCCGAATCCAGCCGAAGAAATGGCAACAAGTGAGACAAATAATTGAATCGGGTCAGTTTCCATTCTAGAATTTGCAAGAAAAGAAAAGTTCCAAATAAAAAAAACTTGGTGCAATTTTAAAGATTATAATACTGATGAACTAAGATGAAACTCAGCCATTGAAGCCAAGAGCTTATGTGTTAGATTTAAAAGTGACATGCCATTTAGAGAGAGTAGAGGAAGACTAATCAATCAAATGGAGCTGAATCGGATCAAATCAAAGTAAGAGGCGGACATGTAGCGAAATGTCGAAAAAGGGTGTGCGTGTGGAGTGTAGTTGTACCTACCATTCATCCAATTCTTTTCAGGCTGAAAATGGTAAGCTGTTCTTTGGAAGGAGAACATTGCGTTTGTCCAGTTGTACGAAAGCCGGTCCCGAACGGAGGGGTAGGACTTGGCGGACACCCCTTGCGACACTCCTGTCGGCAGTCGCCCCTCATCCTCCGAAAATGACGTCGCTTTGGAGGCCAAAGGATCCGAGCGACGGTGGTCACTCTTGGCTGGCGTCCCAGGGCTTTGGTTGATGATCAGCCCGACCAGCGACATCAGGAACACGACGGAAGCGACGGTTGCCGCAAACACCTTCAAGGGTCTCCGGAAGCGCGCCGGAGGCCGTGTGGGGGAGGGGTCCTCCGGCAGGAGGGTGTAGGGTGCATTGTTATGGGAGGGGCTGTTCTCCATTGCTTCTTTTTGGGTCGGGACGTTGTCGTAAGTTGTGGTACAAGGTCGGAGGCAAATGTGATGGTCTTAAATAGAGAGAGAGAGAGAGAGAGAGAGAGAGAGAGAGAGAGAGAATGGCTTTCAAGAGCTCATGGGCATGATCTAGCTTTGCGGGGATTGGATATGAATTGTCGCGCAACCTCAGTCCCTGGTTGTGTCAGTTCTTGTCTGATTGCGCTTCTGTGGGTGTGAGAGATGAGAGGGCAAATGTGCATGTGCAAATTCGTAATAAGGAGGGACGGGGAAGGTTTCGCTAGACGCAGTTTAGGCTGTATTTATCAGGGTACTTTGGTTTTCTATGCATTCACCAAAGTTTTTATATGATTTTTCCTCTCTTTTTTACACATTTTTTGGGGGGCGGGTCGGTTTATATGGATCTCCTGTTCTTGAGATTGAACTTAAAAATGGTACGGCGAAGACTTTACAGATCGGAGAAGTATACCCTTGAATTCCTCTCTTCACAAGCAAAACAATGGACTTTTCCCACGTATGGGGTGGCATCTCCTTTTTTCAAAATTTCATACCTTCCGGTCAACCCATTTGAAAAAACAATGGCAGATCGTGTGAGTTAGAAGGAATTGAATGACATGCCTTCAAGAACCGGTAAAGCAATTTCGCCGCGCGCGACGTGCATTTTCTTTCCACTACCAAAAAGCAAAACCCTCTTGGTTTAAGGGATATCAAAATGACACATCACAACTGATCATCCAACATTTTCGATATAAATTTATACATCTTTGCAAGTTACCCTTTGTCCGTAGAGGCAAACGCAAAATGTATAATGAGAGTTTCGTTAACAAGCCAAAGGAAAAACAAAAATATATGAAACCAAAGTACAAATTGAACCGGAAGAGTAGGTGGAAGAGAACCTGCGTTTGGGCACGGCAAGGAAGGGAAGAGAAACTGTATGTCATTTGCTGCATCTCTCCGTTCGTCAAACTCGAAGCAAACTATTTCTCAAACTTTCAAGAAGGGCGAGGTTGATTAGTACGGCAAGTCATAATTAGCAGCCTATAAGCAGACACGTGCGAATTCTCGCGATAAAAGTCTCTCTACGTAAGCAATAAAATTCAATAGGCATCGTCCCGTTTGATTAGCATAATCTTGATTTCTTGTCTGACTGCACTATCAATTTCGAATCGATGTTTGCACCTGCTCAATTGGAGTACGTACACCCTCTCCTATCTTGGTCAAAGGACTTAAAAGCTCCATCCATATAGTATATGCTCCCAGTTTGGCCCATTGAAAAGTGCTAACACTTCCGCTCTTTGTTTTGATCCTCAAATACCAATTATAATTTCTTTTTGCGAATTTCACTCGTGAATGAACATGAGTATCCTGCGACCAACTCCAATAAGGTATAAAATATGCATTACCCTTGAACGCTTGCTCACAATTTATCAAACTTTTTGACGGATCGGTCCCGTAAATCATTCTTAATATACCTAGAATTACTCTTGGATCGTTCTCAAGAGAAATGGGAGCTAAAGGACGTGATCAGAACTCGTGAGAGTTCTTGCTAGAGATGGAAGGCTGGGACGGCTTCTGTCTAATTCTGCACAGCTCGGATGATTGCTCGTTCTTAGCAATCGAAGACCAATACGACCACCACGTGATAATGGATCTGACTATACTTTTCAAGGAACCATGTGCATGATCATGAATTACCTCGTAAACTGTGTAGTTTTGCGCTTTTGGAGACGTTCCATCCACATCATTAAGAACCCCACGAAAGATCCCTCCAAGTGTCGCCATGCGAATAACTACAAGAACACAGACATTGAGAAAAACCCAAATGGCCCATCTTCTACGTCAATCCCATACATACAAAAACTGGTGTGACATGGCGATACGACCATCACATAGTTTCCGATAGCACCATGAAGTTTCGAGCTGACCGGCCAATGCTAAATGCTAAGCAAGCCACATCCCAAACACCCTGTAATAAGTATCACAATCATTCCAGTGAGGAAGTTCGCAATGATTGTGGAGCATACCAGCCAGTCCTCCTCCTCCAAATCCCTCCTTCCCCCCTCTCCCCTGCACCTCCTCCGATCCTTCCCCTTTTCTCCTCCGCCCGCCCCGTCTTCCCGTGATCGACCCACGCCGTCGCCGCCTCGCCCATGGCCAGTAGCCGCAACCGCCGACACCGACGCCCTCCTCCTCCCCCTCGCTACCCCCGCACCTCCTCCCCTTTTCTCCTCCGCCCGCCCCTGTCTCCCAGTGATCGACCCCCTCGCCGCCGCCCCATGGCCGCAGCTTCTGCCGACGCAGACGCCCTCCTCCTCCTCCCCTCCTCCCGACCTCGCTCTGGCCTCTCTCGAGGAGGAGGACCCCCGCTCCTCCTCCCCGTCCCCTCCCTCCCCCTCCTTCTCCCCCCGCCGCCCCTGTCTCCCGCTTCATCTCCTCGCCTTGAACCCCGCCTCCTCCACCGTGGCCAAGGCCGTGAAGCCCGAGCGACGACCAACGGAGGACTAGGCCTGCAATTTTTATTTTATAATTTATTTTATTAATTTTTAAATTACGAACCTGAACCGGTGGAACCATAACCGGCGGAATCGAACTGGCCCGAATCCGCCGGCTCATACATGGCCACGAACCGCGGTTCTCCCGAACCGTGGCATGTCTACCCTGTAATAAGTATCACAATCATTCCAGTGAGGAAGTTCGCAATGATTGTGGAGCATACCACGTCAATTGGAATAATTGAAAGATTTAAGACTTAATTGGAATAATTGAAAGGTTTAAGCTAAATTAAAATGCAATTGGTTTAGGACATTTTGAGCAATTTTCCCGATTTTGTGAATACACCGAAGTAAGCTTAATAGCATGATCCATAAGTGTATTTCCTCTCCATCAACCAAGCTCTTATTACATGCATTAGATGAATCTCAATTAGTGTATCAAAAGAATGCCAGGCTAGACCTATCTTCACTAAAGGTCGAGATATATCGAGTACATCATAATTCAGATGACAAAAACGCTTTCACCGCCCCTAATAAGAATTAAATTAAAATAAAAGGTGGATGAATAACAACATCGGATACTTTGACCATCCGCAACGGCAGGAGGCAGACATGTCACTCAGCATGGAGTCTTAAATTCATGATGAACATGTGTTCATGTGATCAATCGATGTCATCCTGCAGATTTGGCCCATCACGATACTCGTGACATCTTGAATCTTGCCAATAATAAACGACCTAATCGCGTGATTGGTGTCGTCAAGATCTCCACAGTTGTCGTTGCTTTGGCTTCTGACTTACCTCGTTAGCTCGAAAATGAATGGTCGTTGCACATCAAAGATGGATTGTTAGGTTTATAAGAGATCTCGCAGGCAGTTTGAATGCGATCTCTTAAAACGGAGAAGGACAGTTACGATTCAAGACAAGTAAAGAAAGTACAAAAAGAATCGATCCCAACATTGCAAATGAAGACAGCATGTGCTGGAGTCTCGACATGGACACCTTTTGTGGGTCTGAGAAATATATAATTTAGCAGAACAGCAAGATGAAAATGATCGATTAAATCTCACGTTTCGCATTCGATCGATTAAACCATCCGACCTACTCTTCTACTCTTTCGAACGGTGTCATAAACTATTGCTCACTTCAAATCCAGAACGAAGCAGCTATTCGGTTCAATTTGCCGTCATGTTCAGAAGAGGTTCATAATTATTATGGTAGAGCTCAGCTCGTTGTTTATACTAAAACGGCAAATCTCAGGACCTTTCATGTGCATAAGTCGGACCCAGAAGACAGTCGGTCCATGAGCCAACCGACCCTTTCCCTCCGAACGCATACGTTTTGGTGTTACAGTGCTATTCGAGAGGTAATACATGGTTTCATACTCTAAATTACAAATGCTGATCTGCTTTGTCGAAGGAAACTTATGGCACACGGGCCTATAGATCCAAATCGAAACGCTAATGATATAGAAGTGCCTGCAGTGCGAATTTCAATTCAGCAGCCATTTTGAGTGCCTCATACCAGGCAGTACATAATTGTGATCAGCCAAGAATTGAGATAAATTGCATACATCGTACGCCACTTTTCTGCACAAATATCAGAAAATTTGGACAAGGGTGTAATCCTTACATACATTAATGGCCTCATGAACACTTGATTTCAATTCTATGTGTGAAAGAATGAACAAATCGTCAGAGCTTATACTATTCTCCCACTGGAAGGAGCTCAGCCGGACGACAAGTGAAGTAAAATCAAGAGAAACATATGGAAGATTAAGATACACTGGGACATTAGAGCGATGCCAACAGATGAAGCTAAGGGAAGGGAATTTACAGTTACAGAAAGCAGCTTTGTGCAAAGAAATAGTCATGGCGTCATGTATTGCCACCTCGAGGTCTCTTATCCGAAGATGCTCCAGAACCTCTTGATGCGTCTCCTAATGGACTTTATGTGTAACTTTGCTAGTAGTTTGTGTAGTACTATCATATTCTCCTTTCGTTCATATATCACAATGCGCTTGACTTCTTCCATATTACTAGCGAGTTAAGGAACTCCATCACCTGTATGGACATGCGGACATTCCGTCATTGTCATGCTCAATGTGAAGAAAAACCATACAGACAATGAGATAAGCTACCCAGGACCCAGCCTAATCAGGACAATGCCAAAATATATAAGAAAAAAAACAGGCATAATGTCAAAATTGAAGTGCTTCATTGCTCAAATAAAACACGATTTCCCTTGCAAAGTAGGAAGGGAAAGCAATAAACAAGATCAGACATCAAGCTTATTCATTGATCAACATTGATATTTACCTCTGAGGGGTCCCTAAGAGAGTAATAGGCACTACTTTCTTTGGGAACTGAGGAGACCAAAATGCCATGACCTCGATTTTCCTCTCTCAACACCTGTCGGGTACAATAATACACCATTAGCGAACCACCGACTCACAACAAGTAGTCCAGTCCTACATCTGCAGCAATGCCAAGTGGATATATATTTATTACCTTAAAGGCATCTTCATCTGTCCGATCATCTCCGATGTATATTGGGAGCACATCTTCACATTTACTAAGTCCTGAGAGAAAAAATAAACCCTTTTCATACAGTTCCAGTTGAAAATAAACAACTGTAGACAGCGATACAAGAAACTAAGGACACAACAAAAAGAAGCCAAATAGTACCGAGCGATTCGAGCAAGAACATAACAGCTTTCCCCTTGTCCCAATTAATCACGGGCCGGACCTCCAAAACCTGAAAAGGAAGAACAGTCAAACACGCATCAAATCACCAATGTTCATTATCAAGAAGTATTCATGGTAACTGCAAACAAAACCACAGGATTCTACCAAGTTAACATTTTTTATTCTTTTGATCAGCAAAAGAGTGCGGAGGGGTCACCAGCATGGCTAGCCCCTCTCAGCATTACTATTAGGGTCTTACACTCACTACGGAATGTTTGACTTGAACCATAGCTACTCAGTCCATCACCGCAGCACGCACGAAGTCTCTCAATATGAGGTAGCAAATGCCCAAAGCACGAGCTAGCCAAAGGTTCGCTCCCAACCTGACTCTAACTTGTGACCCCATGAAAGACGATACCCTTTTCAAAAGTACTACCACGGTCGCTAGTCTACAAAGGTAACATTTGATGGAAAGCGAGCAATACCTTCCGCCCATGAGTTAGTCGCAATTGAGGATACTTCTTTAGAATACCATTAACACGTGCTGCAACCTCTTTCCAATTCTGCGAGAAGATAAATATCAGAAGGTAGATGTGGAATTAACAACAATATTCAGAGGGCAGTTTATCAAAAGCCTACCTTCTCATCAACTTTGCGGTAATGTACAGAAACACAGAACTTATTGTTCTCCACTTTCACACTGTCAATTTCTTCGGTAGTTTCAACAAGAGATGCAAAAACCTGTTCATGCAGAGATTTGAGATAGACATTTAGGCAATGAGAATTTGCGGTCCATAAACCTTAAAAGTATCCTAAATGAGACTAAAACTGCACAACTATGCACCTTCGCTATCATGGTTAGAAATTCACTAGCTGGCTGGAATAGGTTGACTTCCTTTCCCTATATATCCCAAAAAGACAGACAATTAACACAGCAGTTTTCTTGTCCACAGCAGGAAAAGAGATTGAAAACCAGAAATGCACTGGCCATTCAATACAAAAGATTAGAAGAGAGACCAAATGGTGTGCAGAAGAGAGATCAAATGAATCTGAGACCTGCTTGTCCGTGGATCTTATAGAGTTCGGGTGGTCATCAGTAGAAGAAGGTCTAACTGGGCCCATAATGTCCATGCCATGGCTACCCGCATAATAGAGTTCAGTCAGTCCGACAAATTCAAATACCTGATTGAACAGCAAAAGAGTCGTGATCAGGGAAAACTGCAAGATACGATTCAAATCCAAATTCATTTAATCACCCATTAGTTACCTTATCACGACTTCTTCCACTAATTATTGCTGTGGGGAAGCATTTTGCTGCCTTTCTAACGGCTGCTCGCATCTAAAAGTTGAACAGGGTAAGTTTTAACACCAAAGGTAAAAAAAACTAAAACGGGTCTTCCATGTAAGATGCGTGAAGAAAACTCTTACAGATTCCGACATGTATGCGCGGTCAGGGTTCTCAACGATGGGAGAAAGGGTCCCATCATAGTCTAGGAACAAAACAATCCGCTTGCCCTTCGCATAATTTGCGAATTGCTCAAAAGACAGCAGAGCTGATGGATACTTTAGCTGCAAAGTTAAAAGCTAGAATTGAGAAAAAATCAACAATGTCGGCCAAATGCAGGAAAAATTAAGAAAGATATGCAAAATTACCATCCAAGTTTGGTAAGCAACGTCTGCTTCATCAGCTACAACATCATTATTGATGTCCTTGGTTATCATCTTGGGCGGAGGAGATGATGATTTCATAGCATCCACCCATGCGGCAGAACGAATATCGTCAAGAATCCCGTTCTTCCTTGGTATGGTTAGGTTCAGCCCAGGTGACAAAGGTGAAGATGAGGCTGAGCATGGCAGAAAATTGGCGCGCCCTAGTCTTGACTTATTCATTGGAGAGGTTTCAGGTAGAACAGGAGAAGCATGATTAGACTTGAGGTCCATTTGATCCAGATCGTCAGCACACGTTACAACAAATGTGAAATCTGCAATCTTCAGTTTAATCTGATTCCGACCAAAAGATCACAATAAAAGCTGGCCCTTCCTGCTGCTTGTCTATTAGTCCACTAACCAACAGGAGCCTGAATATGAGCGAGTAAAAATCTTGTTAATCATATGACCAAGCACTATCAAAACCAAGATTCACAGAATGCTGCTAGCTCCAGATCTACTCTAACTGCTCGTTCGTTTGTATACGAGCATGAGAGAGGTAATCAAATGACTTTTCCATGGCATCCAGGGCATGCACAATCAATAACACAGCACAAAAAGAAGTTTCCAGAGTCTACGAAAGAAGAGCTCAGTTCATAGCTATTACTAAATAACGCCAGTCGTGGTTCATGGAACATGAGGTCTCGAAGGCAGATGAACAAAGAATCAATAAAGCACTGATGCCGGAGAAAAATAAGGTTGAAAAGGCTGGAATGACCAAAACAACAAAGCAAAATAGTTTATCGAAGTAGATAACTGATGGCAAATGGTGTTACAGGTGCAGGGGAAATCAACAACGAGCCTATACTGCTTTGGTATAATGTCTAGTTATGTCAAACATCCTGATTCAGAGATATATAAAGCATTCTTACCATGCTTCCAGGAGTATCCATCTTTATGATACCTTGACACACCCAATAACACTTTCCTCCAAAACCTATGAAAGTGGGCAGAGACGTTTCGTGTTTATGAGGAGGAGGATAGCTAGCTTGATACTTTCGAAGTCTCGACTCGTCTTAAATATTGGGTTACCGCAGAAATGATTCCAGTCCACTCGAGGACTTGAAGGTTCTAAAAGAAGAGAGATTCAAGGTCAAACCATGCAAAATTAAATTACAAGTCTGAAAAGGATCTTCTTTAATTGCCTAAACAGGGCCGGTATGGAAAATTTGACCTTCCACCACCAACCAAACCAAGCGAACTTTCCTAGGGGGAAAGAAAAAGTGCCCAAAGGAAACTTAAATAATCAAAGATGGAAACAGGTACGAAATGGCATCAGCTTTTAATGAGATGCAGTTTCCGCGAAACCGAACCATAGTCGGCGAGGTTGGGGGCAGGACTGCAAGCATAAATGTACATAAATCACGCAATAACAACAGCTACAACAAAAGTCAAACAAGAAAAGAGGCTGTGTTCTCCAGACCCGTTGGGTAAAACTACAGGCAGGGAAAACGTATACAGAGATTACAAGGAATCCAAGTCAATATTCTTTCCAAATATGGCACTATTCAACTCTCAAGGGGCCATCTGGTACAAAGAATCTTGAACCCCGCCCCGACTGTTTAAACCAATCGAAGCACGCTGATTAATGTGCCGATTATAATCTTTTGTCGACAAAAGGAATCAAAAGATTCCGAGACAAGAATCAGAGCCCCGAACAAGTTCAAACCGAAATGGATTGTATGGGAAGGCAAGCCAAAGAGCATTGCGTGAATGCACGCATTCAAAGAGAAGGCGGTTACGATAACAGGGAGACACGCCCGTACTTGACGAACGGAAGAACCGTGCCGTACCGGCGAAAAGGGAGAGGAAACGATTGGCGAACCAGCTCCGAACGCTCGGGTGCAAGAGAACTCGACAGTGCCTTCAAAGCGAGACAAGCGTAAATCGCGCAAGAACACCCCCCCGGTTAACGCAGACTCACTCTGACGACACACATCCACATGTATAGAATCTTCAAGGAAAGAAAGAATTTCAATGCGGGGGTTGTCCGGACGCCGCTGAGGGGATGGGTGGAAAGAAAACAAAGACGAGTTCGGACGGTCAATGTGATTCGCCGACGTCGCTATCGTGTTCCGTCGTTTCTCAGCAGCCGGGGATGGGTCGAAACAAAATCCGAAACAAAGATAATCACCTGCGGAGAGGAAGGGAGAGCGCTCGGCAATGGCCACAGCCACAAGCAAGAGAGCCAAAGGACTCCCACCCAAGAAGCGAAGCGATGCAACGCGTGCGAAAAATCAACGCGAATTGCAGGACTCTGAAGATACAGGACTCTGAAGAAGAAGAAGAAGAGAATAGCGACGAATGAGGTCTGGTATTAATAGAGAGCCGATCTTGACGGGAACCTTTTTCTCTTTTTTAACTGGCGCTCTTGGGTTGGTGAGGCGTTTTGTTGAATCACCGAAACGCATTAGCCCTAGAAAGCACACCGTCTCTTCCGAAGATGCCGACCTTCGCGCACGGCGCGTGCGCGTCACGGACAAACGAACGGGGCGGCTGTCGGCGCCACCTCCCCAACGCCGCGCGTGGTCAATCGGTTCGGTGTCAACTGAAAAAACCGGAAATTTTTTCATTTTTCTCGTATTTAGAATGGTCGGTTTTATTATTAACCAAGAAAAAATTAAAAAAACCAACCGCCAAAGAAAACGTACGAGGGACGGGAGGCCGGTGGGGCCCGGGGAGGAGGGGAGGGGCATGACGGACACGTGGAGGTGGGGGCGACTCAGCGTGGGGGATGCGTGCGTGTGAGGACACCTGTGATCGAGCTCGATCTGACGTGGCCACGACGGGGGTTGGGGCCCGCCCCCTGCTCGGGCCCCGAGTGCGGAACGTGTCGTCGCTTTCGGTCGCAGCTGTGGGCATTGAATGCGTACCGACCCTACGGGGAGGCCCACGTGGCAGGGAGCGGGTCCCGCCCGGCTCTGCTCCTCCTCCCTGCGAAGGCGAGGCGAAGACTCGTCGTGTCGTGGCCTCGGGATGGTCTGACTTGGGCAGGGCATGGGGCCTCCCCTCCCCTCCCTCGGTCCTTCACCGACCGGAACATAAATCATCCTTTATTATATTTATTTAATCTCTCGCTGCTGTCTAGGATCCCTCTTTGGCCTCTCTTAATCCTTCGCCCATGCATTCTCCTCCTCCGGCCACCGCCGTACCTTTGCCGGTGACAACCTCGACGGAGCTCGAAGGTTATATCATTTCCAATTGCGTGCTATGCCTCTCTCTCACTGTCGTCATGTCAAGCTCTGAATTCTTGTCAATAACGATGAGCCTTGGATCTAAATATCGTCTTTTTTTTATGCAATCAAGTTATTGGATTATAAAAGTCGATTCTTTTAAGTCCTTTCGTTAAAGCAATCCTATAAGCCTAGTTTCCAAAACTTGTCATTAGAACAAGCAATCCGATGCAAAGAAGATTCACACGCCAAATACTGTTGTGATTAACTACGTTTTAGGTAGAGTTAAAATGTAATAAAGCGGAAGAGCGGAAATGGAGAATTTGTGTATATTTCTTAATATATATAGAACATAGAGAGCCTCTTTAAAGGCTCACGTAGACGAAATCAAAAGGGAATAAATTTGATATGCATAATCAAAATGGGTATAGAGAATCAGAGGAAATATCTTAAATATCTCTAAGGAATATCCAAATATCCTAATATTGCTAACAGGTGGAACGTCGTCATTCTCGCTACATTGCTTCTCGAGCACAATGTTATCACAAGTTTGTTTTTTTTTTTGGTCGAAATGTTATCACAAGTTACACCAAAAGCCTTAAGACGTTTTTTTTCTCTCCATAAGAATACATCTATATTTTGATTTTGATTTTGATTTATTGAAATCAACTCCGTGAAAGTACTACCACACGCACAAAGCAGTAAAGTGCCCCGATTATTCGATAGCCGCAAATTTCCAATCGCACCTAAAAAAAAGATTTTGTTAAGAATCGTAAAAATCTGACATCAAATTATTGGGTTCTGACCGAATTAGGCCACGCCCATGTGATGTTTCGGTGGGTGGTTAGGTGCCTTCAAGTTGGAGAGTTGTTAACCGGGTGCATTCGAGTCTTGCCTGTTGGCGCAACAATGGAGAGTTTTTCACGCTTGTCCGAGTCTTCGGTTTACGAGAATCTGGAAACTCCCCCCTCCTTCTTCTTCGGCTGAAAAGCACACCGACGTGGGCAATCTTTTCGACGTAACTTTTGGAGAACTGCGGTCCGACCGAAAAGAGGAAAGGAAAGGAAGAGGAGGGCATCTGTGGGGGGGTTGACTTGGGTGACCGGCTTACCATTGTTTGACGTGTCACGAGCAATTTTCTTAAAAGGCGGGACGGGACTGGCTTGATGTCGTGCGGCCGAGCGAAGCGTTGGTACCAATGACCTTTGAGACCCGTGCGGTATTGGGGAGGGGGACAATCTCAGCTGGCGTCGCAGATCTGGCGCCCCCCGGTCAAAGTTCAAAGATGCTGACAACGAAAAAGCGAAACTAGGATTCGTGCCCCGCACGACTAGAGTTACGAAATTTCTCCCGAGTTTAAAAATTGCAGCGGGGTTCTCCCCCCAGTGATATCTCTAGTCCGTGAAGAATCGTAGATTCGAACTCGAGAACCCCTTAATTCATCTGCGGTGTAGGTTCAGTGGTGCTACACATAGGATGACTCAGACTCTATTCCTGCTAGTACCATGATAGGATGTAATGAATCTCTCGAAATGAATAGTCGTTATGATCCGAATCAAACATTTCATCATAAGTATAAATGTCGTATGGTAATGCCCCGTGGATCGCCAACAAGGTCGCCTCTTCCTACTCTTTTGGTGGATCAAAAAGAAGATTTAAATTATCGAAGCACTAAATATACTCGATCATTGTTTAGAGTAAGGAACAATAGTCCCTATGGTCCTAAGCTAGGAATAATAACTCAACCAGTAACTGGATATAAAATGTTGGTTGAACGGCATATACGCTTTGTACTCCTGTCCCAATGAAATTGAAGACAATGAAATGCAATCCTTGATGTTCTATAATTGGTTGTTGGGGGAAGGGTGATATAACTTGTGGCCAGCATCGAGCACCTCAAATTTCTAGGCTGGAAAAAAAAAAAAAAACCAAACACTCATTGAGTAATGGTTTGGATGGACTTGGTTGGCCAGTCATAATACGGGCAATATTTTTAGATTTCTCTCCTATGTAAACGACAAATATGCCCGGTACCTTGCACAAACTCAACACGATAGATGAAAGTATAATTTTCATTTCCTCGAGCCACCAGTTAAAACAAAATCGAACCAACCAAGAAAACTTCTACATTTTTTATCGCACGCTCCAGCTTAAACAAACGGTTTTTTCTTTTGACCAAGAAAAACAAAGGAATTCCCCGATCAACGAATGAGTAATAGTTTAGCAGGTGTTCCGGAGCACTCGCCCATCGTAATTAACAAAAAAAAATTGGGAACTCATTTCTAATACATGGTTACGTACAACACACGGAAGAAATTTCGAAAATGACAGGCTTGAAAAGTTTTTCTAGATACGCTGGATGGGTTAATGAATAGAGAGAAAGGAAAGGAAGAAGGTTAAAAAAAGTCAAGAAAGTGACGAGGAGAGAGAGAGATTTGCCTTTTTCAAAGCCTTCGTGGGGGTGACTAGGAAAGGGGAGGGGGGGGCCCCACTTGACAGTTGGGCGATCTTTCTTAGGAACTTCCCATCCATCGATCGAACCTTCTTCCTCCCTCCTGGGAACGCGTCGGTCGACGGCGACTCAGCCCCGATCACGACTGAATCCCTCTACTTAATCTTCCAATGAACTTTCGACCCCAAAAAAAAAGAAAAAAAAAATCTTCCAAATGTCATTAACGCCTCTACTAATCAACCTTTTTGACCTTTCTATCTCGTGTTCGTTTTTCTAGATTTTCGCAAGCACGCTCGATTGCTTTTGCGCCAAAAGCAAAACTATTCTGACGCTATGAAGAAATTTGGTGTATGAAGTGGAGGAAACTGTCGGATCCGGCCAACAATAAAACATACATACAAAACAATCTCTCGATGAAATCGTACCAACAAAATGTTTTCGCGGGGGAAAGTCTCCTCGGGAGTCGCCATCATTATCGGACAAGAGTGGAAAATTCCGAAGTGCACCGTCCGTGCTTGATTTCATCAGTAAAATTATTGTTTAGCTACATTTCTATATTTGAGTACGACCATTGCGTCGTAAAAAGTGTTGATAGAAAATGTACCATGAAAAGGGCCCGTAAAGAGTGTTCTCTAGTGAGTTGCACATAGTTTGGCCAAAAAACCCGGTACATGTCATTGGAGATAATCGGAAAAATAAGAAAAACTGTCAGGAAAATCTTAAACATATTACGTATATGCTAATTTAGTCTTAAACTTTTTAATGATGCCAATTTGGTCCTAACATTTTGGCCTCGTGTCAATTCAGTCATTCTGACTAATTTTGACTGGATATTGCTGACGTGGATGCTGGGTGGTCTATTCGATGCTGACATGGATAATTTTTAATAATATTATAATATTTATTGATTTTTCTATTACTTTTTTGTTTTCTTTTTTTCTTTCTTTTTCTTTCTTTTTTCTTTTTACTTTTACCGGTGACTGGCCAACGGCCACAGGTGATGGCCGGGCAGGCTAGCCTCGCCTAAACGGGGTTCGCCATCACTCGGCACAGGTGAGACCTGGCCTAGGCAAGGGCCAGCCCTCGTCGAAGCTTGCCCTCGCCCAGGCGAGGCCCGGTGAGGATCAACCTCGCCTAGGCCAAATCGGGCGAGGTCGACCCTGGCTCAGGCCAAGGCGACCTTGTTGGGTCTCGCCCTCGCTTGGCCGGGCCTTGCGTGTGCCGGGGGACGGCGACCCTCACCAAGGCAAGGCCAGCCCATTCGGCCATGGCCGGTGGCCAAGATAATCTTGGTTAAGCTGTCTCAATCTTCGAGCGATATGCCCGCTGGAAGACGTTGGTCGTATTCTTCTCCTCTTTTTCTTTCTTCTTTTTCGCTTGCGTCCTATCACTGCATCTGAACAGCGTCAGTGAATTTCTTTTCTGGCCAACTTCGTATTTTTATAAT